TCTGGGTCGTTGTTGGAAGCAGGCTGGGAAGGTTCCAGCACAATTTATTGTGGAACAGGAGTGATGCCAGGTATTGCCCCACCGCAGATACAGCGAATCCATAGCTGATCAAGCAATTAGACGTTCCTTCCGAGGACCTTGATGACGGATTCAATAAGCAGATGACCTCGCGATTCGTTGAAGACGACCCCAGCTCGGACAATGCGTTTGCCCTTGCTGGCGACTGGATTTCGCATTGTCTTACTAACCATGAGTATTGCTTGAAGAACTGTGATGTCGAATTACCAACCAGAGTTGTTGATATCAGCGAGTATAAAACGACAGGACGAGCATCTCTGTTCGTTACTGAAGGTGCCAAATCTACGTACTTTGCTCTCAGCCATTGCTGGGGAAGAGACCCCCCGAAAGACGGGCTGTAAGTCGTATTTCAGATTGTCCTGGCCCGTTTGACTGAGTTCTTGCGTAGCATCCGGCGCTGTACAATGAAGAACTTCGAAGAGTTGAAAGCCGGATTCTCCGTTTCTATGCTCCCGAAAACGTTCCAAGATGCAATATTAGTGGCTGATCGACTAGGCGTGCAGTAAGCTTTTGTGTAGAACCTCCCAAGTATCAGATAAGAAACCTCTGACGTCTTTCCAAAGGTATATCTGGATAGACTCGCTCTGCATAATCCAGGACCTGCATTCTGATTGGAGCCATGAGTCGGAGCAAATGAGCAGGGTCTATGGCAGTTCACACGTCACTATCCATGGCTCCGCTGCTTCCAATAGTGACGCCGGATTCCTCCAGTGCCGGCCCCCGAATCGATATGTCCGAACAAAGCTCTGTCGTGCTCCGGGCATTTCAGATCACTGGGTTTGGGTACAGTGGCCGTCATCCGAGCTCGTCTGGGATCTTGAAGATTCAGTAGGTCCGCTGTGGGATCGAGCCTGGGCTTTCCAAGAGCTTGTCTTACCTCCCCGTATCGTGGAGTACAGTCCCGTACAGATGAACTTTAGGTGCAATGCCCAGCACTGTGAGGAAACGTCCCGCTTTTTCGGCAACGGTTGCCACGATGGCTACAAGGAACTACTCTGGATTTTGTCGCGCCCTGATGTCATCAATTCACCGTGTTTGGAGCGCCGCCACGAGGCGTATATCGGCTCGGGCACCAGAATGACTTGTCAGGAGCGCTGGTACGAGCTCGTGGAAGGATATGCGGGGCGCAAGTTAACATTCGAGAACAACAAATTGCCAGCGATTGCTGGTGTTGCCGGAAAGATTCGCCAACTCACGGGAGATACATATATGGCTGGCCTGTGGAAGCATGACTTAGCCACGGGCTTGTGCTGGGGCCGAAGATCGCAAGCGTATCTGAAGGCCCCCTCGGAATACGTAGCACCGTCCTGGAGCTGGGCTTCGACGCTTGGCCATGTCAGTGTCTGTATGCCCAAAGGTCGCAAGCTTCATGTTGACCTGATTGACTGGAAGCTCGAAACCGACCCATTGAACGCGCTGGGTGAAGTCTTCCGCGGCTCTATTACGATTCGCGCACCCGCGCGACATCTCGATGTCTCTAAAGACACCGTGCATCCGTCCGAAGAATGGGACTATGATGCGTCTAAGATCGTCGTCGAACTTAAGAGCACTGGAAATCGAGCAAAGTCCTACGATACGCATCTTTTCCCACTAGACGACCAGGAGCAGGTTCGCGATTCACGTGTAGGGGGGATTTGTGCTGTGTCTTTTGACATGGAGCCCGCGGGCGACCTGAAAGAGGTCCTGCTGGTTGACCTCAAGGCCGAAGGCTGTAGCATGAAGCTCGAAAAGCCTAGTAACGGATTCAAGCCGGAGGGAATTGTGCTGCAGACAGTCCCAGCCGAAGGTTCGGAAGTGTCAGTAGAAGTTGTTTACAAGAGGATTGGAATCTGGGGTCGATGCCACGCGATGGCGGAGTGGTTGGAGGAGGGGGAAGAAGCTGCGGTGCTGCAGGGATGGACGCGAACAAAGATCACGATCATGTAGCATTGTGCCTTTCAATTCAGTTGGCCAGCCCTAAGTCTTGGAAGAGTCTATAATTTTCACATGAGTGGCGGGTAAACGCGGCAAAGGTCACGATGCTTGAATATTCACGTGCGTCAGGTCAAAGTTACATGTTAGGTTGAAATTTATGCTCTTTTGAACATGGAATTTATTGTTACAGGTTCGGAACATGAAGCCGTATCGAATGGCATTCATTCATTCATTCATCGTCAACGGCCATTGCCGCAATCAATCTATGCTACCCAAGATGCGAAGACCCGAACTCCTACCGAGACGTAGAATATCTAGTCAAACGGATTGGTGCGGGTTCCCCAGTAGGTGAGGAACATGCTGAGACCGACGGTCTCCAGGACTCGGGCAAGGGCACCAACGGCGACGGTGTCCAAGGGACGCTTCTCGGTCACGAACTGGGAGACGATCTGGATCATTGTTAATTACGGTTCACGAGCAACTCGACAAAGTGATCTGAACATACGGATGGTGCAGCAGTAGCCATGAAGATTAGGGATCCGAGGTAAGCGGCGCCCTTGTAGGTCAAAGTTCCGGTAGCATTGATCAAGGCACCAACACCATAGGTCTGGATGGCTGAACCGACGAGAGAGCTACCCCATGTCGCGGCAGCGGTGGCGGCCTCTTTTGACTTGAAGAACTCCTCCTTGGTGTTGGCCTGTTGGGCACGTCGATAGGTGTCACCGAAGACGGGTCCGAGAACGGCGAGAGAGATGGCGTGGTTGAAGGCCGTGCCGAGGGCAATGGCCGAAGGCTTGACGGGAGGAAGGTCTGCGGAATCAATTGATCAGCAAATAGTTCCGGAAGCAATTCGTGATACTTATGAGAATTGCAGAGTTGTCCTCAAGGAATACGTGGTGGGAATGAGGGTCATGCTGCTCTGAATGCATCGTTGCGGGGCGCTTACAGTGAAGAGTGGCCATTGTGTGGGATTGGATTTGTTGATGGAATGAAGGGTGTTGGTAATTGAAGCTTTATTGTTGAAGGATGGGCGAGAATCGTGAAGGGACGCAGAAGCTTTTGTACCGCTGTGGGACGTCCATGTTAACTGGCTCTTTCACCTGACTTATGACGTCAAGGCTACGACGGCACGCCAAGCTTCACCCGCAATGCGGTCATGGCCAGGATTCTGGCGATCCAAGCCACTCTTCGTTCTCGAAGGGGATAAGCACACCCGCAGTGCCTTGGAAAATCACACAATTTTGCCATGGTGAAATGCTCAGAATTTCCATCTCCCCGCATCACTCGCGGGACTCCTGAATGCAGGCACGTCATCACAAGTCTGGGCCCGGAACGGAGCCACCTCGGCATAACTGGAGGGGCTCATGGGCTAGCGGGGCTCTGTTTACAATATCACCGGACTGGAGCAACGCGTGTTTGTGGCCCTCGTCTGTGCCCTCACTGCGTGCTATCTGCTCGGCTTTTGCTCGCTATGATCACGGTCTTCAACTAACCCGCCCAAGTGGGACTCCAGCAGACCCTGTTCTTCCACGTCCAACGTATCACAAAGTCCGACAGTTCGTCAAAATGATACTTCCGAAATATGTTTGGAAGCTCGCACTTTTTCTGTCCCTCTGTCTCTTCCTGACATGGTCTATTTCCTGCTCTAACTTGCTGTATCCCAATGCGCCTAAGCCCCAAGCAGTGCCCGATGTTACTCATTTGGTTCTCTTCCAGTTCAAGTAAAGCGCCAGCCCGACGTCTATCAAGGAGGTAAGGACGTAATGAGTTTCCAGAAAGAGATGTAGGTTCACATGTGCTAGATTACTTCGAAGATGCTTGCGCTGCAGAAGACCTGCGTCCATGCAAGTACCCAGCTCTCGTATATCAAATCAATATCGGGAGGAAAGGATTCGTCGATTGAGAACCTGCAGGTAATGAAGAACTACAATATCAATTGGAGTGGATACTTATCAGGAACAGGCCGGTCTCACCCATGCCTTTGTCGTCCAATTTTTAGCCTGGAGGACCGCGACTACTATGTCAACGATGACCCTACGCACAAAGCCTTCAAAGAAGCTGCAGCTCCACTTATAGAGAGAGCTCAAGTTGTGGATTTTAAAGATGGCGTTTTCGTTTGAGGGTTTGCTCGGGATCGGTATGATTGTTGTGTTCGACATGTAGAAACCGACAATCATGTATCGTGGCGTGGCGTGGGCCCATGCATGGCGGAGCTGGGACTCAGTAGCATGTTCATCTCAGTGAATATATACTTCATCCTATACGTTCACATCACAGATGTGTCTGCGTCGGTGAACGCGTGAACGCGACCAACGCTAATGGCGCTCCGAGAGCGCCACGCGCTCATCTGCCAACCTTAGACTCAGTCGTACTTTGTTTATCTCTTACGAGGAATATTGTCTCCATCCCCATCAATCTACCACTTGCTCTCTGATACTTTTCTGCCTTGAAGTGACCTATCTCACGCAAAGCCCAACCTGAGTACCTTGACCTGTCTCGAATCGGCTCGACCCCCTCGGATAACAGGTATCGGTTCATGTTCGCAAGGTCGACGGCTAGGAAACGTATCGAGAGAAGGAAGCCAGGGCAAGCACAGAACACCCGGGATGCGATTCTCCTGCCATTCGCCACCCATATATACCATGCCCCACGGAGTTAGCAATAGCGGATGAGGCAGGGAAGATTGTGGCCAGAGCAATATTTTGACCGAAGTGAATGCGCGCAAGACGATCGTTTTCAAAAGAGAGGCGATAGTCCTTCTGCCTTGGTTTTAGTAGAGAGAGATGGATATTGGACGGCGGTGTTGTCGAAGAGATGCAGAAGACGTGAAGAGTGCCCGCCAAGCAACCATAGCCGCAGCGAAGAGTGGAAAAAGTGGTGATTGGGGGGTTTCTCATCAGCCGCCCCACACCACAGTTCGGCACCCGTGCCCTTCAGCAAAGCGTTCGAGGCTGCAGAAATAAAGAATATAACTGTGTAATTCTTCGGAGTTTCCATATTCAAGTCAATCCTCCATGGCGCAATTGGCTAGCGCGTCTGACTGTTATGATTCATGGCATCAGGAGGTTCGTGGTTCGAGCCCACGTGGGGGAGATTTGGTTCGTTCTTTTTGCAACTTTTTTGTCGTATTATTGCGGGAGATCAACTGCTATTTGCGCCGCAAATACTCGGCCGAATTTTTGCTGGAGTTTGCCTCCTGTACAGACAATGTTTTACATCCTCAATTATCGCTACGTGAATATCTTGAGCAGCTTCGAGGATATCAACAAAACGTTGTGTCTCTTATCTGTCCAACAGCCCAGCAGCACGACATCCTACATATCCGTCAACTTTCTCTTAGGCTTGAAAATCGGCACATACACCACCCACCAGAACCACGACTGCGTTCCCTCGTCCTGCTTCACTTTCAGGCTCGTCGTAACCACAACATTGGTCTTAAGATCCAGTTTGTAAAGGTCTTTCGTCCTCATCCTCGACCTCGTCTTATCATCAAATCCATTCTCTTCCACAACCTTCTCCTAGCTCTCTCCGGGTCTACATCCCATCCCACAAACTTCAGGTCGGTTTCTGAAGATTCCAATGTGAATCGTGGAGGCTCCATGGCAGTGCTACCAGCTCCGCTGATGGTTTCCACGAGTTGGGGCACGGATGTAAAGTTCCAATATCCGCGGACGATGGGGGGAGATGGCTTGGTTGGAGTTGCTGTTGTTGGCACATGCGGCTGTTATGTGGTTCATGGTTGCTTGTGCAAGATAGTGTGAGTTCGATGTTAGCACGGATGTATGTATGAGGGCATATTGCGGTAGGTTAATTAGACATATTAAAGCGCGGGTGTTGCGACTTTGGGGAATCAGGTAACGGGTCATGGCTCTTGGGTCATGCCTCGAGCGCAAGCTTTGTGGACACAAAACAAGAGTGCGTGATCGTCATAGGGAGAGAGGTATGCGGGTCGAGAGAATATGGACACGGTGGACAGCGCTCGCACGGTATATTCTGGATTCCAAATGAAAGTCCGAAAAGCGCTCATTGACATGTCTCGACCATGCGCTTTTACATAGAACCAGACATTTTACCGAAGGCGCACCAACACCAAGCAAACTAAACAAGAAGGGGAATCCTGCGCAAAAGATACCTAGATGACCACAACATCAGCTACACCGAGCACTCAGAGATCAGGCCTCGTTGCTGTCGATCTTGGCAGCAGTGTCGGCGACTTGACCCGCGGTCTCTGCCATCTCGACGTCCTTCTTCTCTGCGGATGCTTCTGCGGCTGGGGCGCTGTCACTGGCACCAATGGCCTTCTTGACAACTGGGACACTGTTGGCGGGGCTGGCACCCTGAGCCGCGAGTACCTTGCCAGACTTATCGATAACAAATACACCGCGCTCAGTCTTCTTGCCCGCCTTCGCGAGGCCAATGGCTGAGATGAGTGTTTGCGAGGGATCGCAGAGCATGGTGTACGGAAGGGTTTGCTTGGTCTTGAACGTGGTGTTTGCCTTGGGGCTGTCGGTCGAAAGGCCGTAGATGCTGTATCCGGTGGGGCCGAAAGACTCATAGTTGTCGCGGAAGTTACACGCTTGCGTGGTACCTAATGGGGAGCGATATCAGTGGCGCGTCTCCTGAGCGCGCGTAAGGTGTTGACTTACAGCCTGGAGTGGACGCCTTGGGGTAAGTGAACAAGACGACGCCGCCTGTGCTCTCCTCGACGAGTTTCGCAAGAGTCGTCTTGGTTCCCTCGTGCGTCTCAATCTCGCCGCCGAACTCAGCGAGGTCAACGGTGTCGCCAACCTTCGGGGGCCCGCTGGCAGGAGCGGCAGCCTTTGCGCCATTGGCCTTCCCGGTCACGGCCTCCTTGACTTCCTCCATTTTCTCGGCCACAATGGCTTTCGCCTTGCCGACTTTGGTCTTCTCGGCCTTGGGGGCGGCCTTCTTCTTGGTCACTCGGGCTGCTGGCGCCGGGGGAGGCGTCTTGCGCTTGCGGAGTTCAACCATGATGGCTTATATATCAGAAAATCGGAGTCGCAAAGCTGTAGAAATGCGCAATCAGCGTCGCAAACGGGTGGGGAGGGCTTCGCGACGGAGGGGAATACAGGCACAGGCCAAACAACAGCTGGGGGAGGTTGGTTTGAGGTCGGACGGAGGAGCGTCGATGCACGAGCAGTTGGCGCTTACTGACCTTGTCTTGGTAATGGCTGCGGTATCACGTCGGTGATAGGCGTCTCGGGGCACAGGAGCACGCGCTAGGAGCAGAAAGGATGGAGGAGCTTGAAAGGGAAGCGTGGGAGCGGGTGAGATATCAAGTCACAGCAGGCCTTTCGGGCTCGAGTGAGGTCGTCTCCAGCCTCCTCCCCTTGGCGACTGCTGCTCACCCATCGCTCTGGATACCGATATTAGGCAGATTGGCTGCGTTGCTTTGATTCAGCTAGCTGGGGCTGCACCACTCGCGCCATGTCGCGACCCTGATTGGCAGTTTGGAAGCTTCCAGGATGTTTGAGGAAGAGGTTTGGCCATGCAGGGCGGTGACCATGAGGCGTTTGTCCGCTCGGCTCGAGTCCCAACACAGCAAGGCTTCCTTGTGCTCCGAGGGACCAACGTCCAGTTGCTCGTCACCCAAAGACGTTCGATCTCGACGTCGCTTCATCCACGCGTGCGATACCCGCCTCGATAGCTGTGTCTATGTGTGAATGCAGTAGCAGTTCTCCACATCGACCCTTCCTTGAGTACGAAGGAGCTAGTATTTAATGAGGAATAGTCGCGCCAAGACCTAGAAATCCCCCAACGCAGCACGCAGCATCTCTGCCCTATAACGAGGTATTATATTATATAGAGAGCGTATACTTTCTCTAATATGCTGTCTTAATGCATTGTAAAGAGCTCTTAATTTAAAACTAAGTTGTTGTTGCGTGGTACTGTCCTAGAGTTGCTGGATTTTGGTGAGGAAACGCGAAAAATATTCCTCATTAAATACTAGCTCCCTCGTACTAGTAGCCTGCTCTGCCGATCAAAGTACCCCGCTTTCCCTCCTCCCTCGGGAGGCCCCTTTTACTCAATATTCCGGCTACACAGGCCAGGAGCAATGCTTGACCTCGAACTGATATCCAAACCTCGATATTCATCGCTCAAGGTCGCCCAACAAAGATTGAGCGTGGAGGAACGGTTGAGAAGGGTGGCTGAACTCATCACTCATCAAGTACAGATATATGGAGCCGGACGGGGCCGCCTCGGGACGGTGCTGATGATCACACAAATATCTGTAAAATCCCTATCAGCGAAGCGAGAAAGAGATATTTCTGTGGATTGCAGTGATGACGGATATCCGCACTGATGTATGATGTCTTGCACAGCGGTAGCTCATTGGTGGCTGGTTCCATCTAATTCGACCTCGGGACCCAATGATACGGCTACTTCTCCTCGAGTATGGCTCTCTTCTTATTGGAGGGCAGTTTCTTGACTTTTCTCATCCATGGTCTTGAGTTGCATGCATTTGGGGTTTGATTTTGTACTGCTTACTTACCCTTCGTCGACTAGCTATTCGACGCCTTGGACTCTTTATCAAGCACCCTTACCAGTCTCCACGGTACGTCATGGCTGTGTTCTCAGACCCATTTCAAAATCCCACTCGCTCTGTCTAAGGTCGCGTGCACAAGGGACGTTGATCGCTTCCTCGTCCCTTCCCCTAACTCTTCGTTCCCGCATCGACAAATCTTCGCATCCTACACAGCGGACGCACCCACTACCAGAAATACCAGAAATTAGCACTCTCGTCACACTCAAGCAGCCGTGGATATCCCTATCGACCGAGCAAATGCCCCAAGATCCGCCAGCGGCGACTCATCCCCACGTTCGTCTCCCGTCCCGCGTCCAAAGATCGCCATGGTAGTTAATAGGATCCCAGAGGAGCCCAACAAGGAGCCGAAATCTACCGAAATCGAAAGACGAACTTTACCATCTGATAATAAAGGACAGGTAAGAATTCTTATTGCCTTTCTATCGAAGAGATGCTCACCCGTAGATCGATGAGGATCCCGTCTTCGGCAATGAAGGAGCAGCTATCCACTACCGAACAATGAATTGGTGGCATGCCGGAATTCGCATGTTCAAGTGTCTAGGCCCTCGATTTTCCCGCTGACTTTGCAGTTATGCTCGCTGAAACTATCTCGCTTGGTGTGCTCGCCCTTCCACAAGCCGTCGCACTTTTGGGCCTCGCACCCGGCCTCTTTCTGGCGTTTATGATCGGTGTCATGGCCACGTATACGGGCTATATCAATGGCCAATTTAAAGAAAAATACCCGGCCATGCAGTCGCTTGCAGACTGTGGCGAGCTGATCGGCGGATTCATCAGCCCATTTGCTGCTATCATTGGTCGCGAATTTATGGCGGGCTCTCAGATTCTTATCTTGGTTTTCATCATGGGAGCTCACATACTCAGTTTTGCTATTGCATTGAACGCCGTGACAGACTATGGGGCTTGCATTATTGTTTTCAGTGTCTTTGGGTTGGCGATATGCTTTTCACTTACACTGCAGCGAACGTTGAAGGCTGTTAGCTATTACTCAATATTCTGTAAGTGCGCCATGGTACCTCAGTATATTGGTGATGCGTATTACCATTCTAATGAGAGTAGCTTGTGGATCTGCCATAGTGGCCGTTACTGATGCTATGATTGCCATCGGTGTTGCTAAGCCGGATATGGGTCGAGTAGTTGCGGTCCACAACGGCCTTCCTCCCGTGAAGGGGGTAGGTCCAGCCATGAACATATGTCTAGCATATGGTAAGTTCCAGCGCTAATTGTTCGAGCCCTTCTAATGAGATGCCTAGCCGGTCATGTCGCATTCTTTGGATTCTGCGCAGAATTGAAGTATCCGAAGGATTTCCCCAAGGCCCTGGCTTTCATGCAGATTACCGCGATTACCTTCTATATGCTGGTCTCTGCTATAATCCAGTATTACGCCGGACCATTGGTAGCGTCACCGGCGCTAGGCCCCGCATCCCCTATAATCCGCAAAGTTGCTTTTCGAATCGCGCTCCCGACTATCATCGTGGCCGGTGTAGTTAACGGCTCCGTGGCCTGTAAATACATATATGTGCGGATG